GGCCCCCACTGGCCGCGGTTCGCTGTCCCGGGCCAATGGGGGCGGCGGGAAGCCGCGGCCAGCACATCCCTCGGCCCGCGCCGCTTCCCACCGCCCCCATTGGCCCAGGACGGCGAACCGCGGCGAGTGGGGGCCGCGATCGGCCGAACCTGCCGCGTCATCAGGTAAATAAACTGGCCCGGCCCGCCAAGGTGCTTACCCTGGCGAGCCGCGTGCCGAACGTTGCCGACCCCTGCCCTAGGGTTTTGCCAGTGTAATTTATTCCATCAAACCACTCTCCTCCTCCTCTCCCCAAGTGAAATAAGCTGTATCAGTAAATGTTCAGTTTTGCTAGTATAAACTGTTCCCACACTAAGAACGCTTTTTCAGCATAGTGTACTGGTACAGCCATACCGGTAAAGTGTAGACCTGGACTAAATATAGCTAGGGTTCTGCATCAGAACAGAAGATTCTAGGGAAAACACCGATATTAATTAAAACTGCTATAGGATGTTAATGTCCAGTCAGGCAAACCTTGGTGTTTTTTAAGGATTCCTCCTAGTAAGGAAGAAACTCCTCATGTTTTACCCATAACTCATTATACAGCTGGTTTAGCAGATGTATTTATTAAGAATGCCAGTAAGAAATAATTGAGAGCTCTACTTCTCTGTATGACTATTTATGACTTTTATTGAGTGTACTTTGAACACTAACATATTTACTTTATATTGTAGGTTGTGATAAAGTACCTTATAATTAACTTTCAGTGAGTTTAGCTGGGTGTTCCCTCTGACCTGCAACTTTCCTCCTAAACCAAAAGCAGCAAGAGCAAAATAGAAAAGTAACAGCAGTAAGAACCAACTTAAAAACATTCAACTGGGAAAACCAAACAGCAGGGCTTTAATTAATTTATTTAGAAAGTGATATTTTATCCCATGTATATAAATTAATGAACTTCAAAAAAAAGTTTAAGCAACATAGTATCTTTGCGAGAAAACATGACCATCTGGCCAGTTTGCTCAAAAGTCTTTTAAAATGTCCTCAGACAATGTTCAGTGATTGCATGAGTCTCCACATTTTGTGTTAGTTTTGCTCTCACCAAAAAAATAAATATTAAAGAAATATGAAATACATTGTGGAAGATCTTGTATGAAGGGATTTGTTGTTGTTTTTTTAAAAAGTTTCATTTGAAATATATTGGATATTCTCAAGTCCCAGCCTCAGAACTGGATTGTGAAATTATTTACAACAATGTAGTTGCATTGGTGTAAATCCAGAACTGGGAGGCCAAATTCTGCTCTCAGTTATAGAACCTGATTTTGTAAACACTCGCACATGTATTTGTATTCATTTAGGTAGTTCTGTTGAAGGGAAGTTGCGTGCATAAATGTTTACATTATGAGGCCCCTGGAGTGTAAGCTCTTGGGGGTATTTTAGACTGACTTTGTCCTTAAACATTAAACATTGACACAATTCTTTTTTCTGCCAACTGATCTGATAGCTGGTGTATTTGGATGTGTTCATGGAAATTAAGTAGCATTCACAATGCAATTGGCTAAAAAGTGTGTGAGAAACACTTAATTAGCAAGACTTTTGTTCATCAAACCCCATCAGTTTAGGGTAGTTTTGTAGATGCTATTTTAACTGAACAGCAGCCGCATCACTATATAAATCTGGCTAATTTTTAATTCTTTTAAAATAGCTGAATTTAAGCATTAATCCTCCTGAAAAACTTTTCAAGTAAAATATTGTTCATGTCTTATCAATATCTTATTAGCAGTTGTGTTCAGTGAAATTATGCAGGCATGTTATTGACTTGTATTAATCTAAAAATGGGTACTACAGCAACCTTTTTCTAGTATGACAACTGAATGATCATACACATCTTATGATAGAGGGGATATGATAGAGGTCTATAAAATCATGACTGGTGTGGAGAAAGTAAATAAGAGTTATTTACAGTAACTTCCCATAACACACAAACTAGGGGTCCCAAATGAAATTAATAGGCAGCAGGTTTAAAACAGACAAAAGGAAGTATTTCTACTTACAACGCACAGTCAACCTGTGGACCTCCTTGCCAGAGCATGTTGTGAAGGCCAAGACTATAACAGGGTTCAAAAAAGAACTAGATAAGTTCATAGTGGATAGGTCCATCAATGCCCACTAGCCAGAATGGGCAGGGATGGTGTCCCTAGCCTCTGTTTCCCAGAAGCTGGGAATGAGCGACAGGGGATGGATCACTTTATGATTACCTGTTCTGTTCATTCCCTCGGGGGCACCTGGCACTGGCCACTGTCAGAAGACAGGATACTGAGCTAGATGGACCTTTGGTCTGACCCAGTATGGCTGTTCTTATGTTCTTACCTTTACTTTACTACTAAACCTTAAAGTTAATAGATGGTACCATAAATTTAAATCTAAATGTCTAAAATTCACTTTTCTTATTTTGAAAGGTAAATGTTGGGAAAATGGATTCTCCCATTGAGAAGTGGAACCTAATAATTGGCAATTTGGCCTTAAAACAGGTAAGTACAACTTACTCATTTTGGCATACTCTCACAAGAACAGTTACTTAAAGTGCCCAGCACAATTTTTGATGCTGACAATAGAAAAAGAGTTAAAGGATACAACACTGCAACACTCAATCAGTTCAGAGTTAACTTACTTCACTTTAATTTCTAATGGTAGTATATAGTCAGGTCTGGTCTATACTACCCGCCTGAATCGGCGGGTAGAAATCGACCTCTCGGGGATCGATTTATCGCATCCCGTCGGGACGCGACAATCGATCCCCGAATCGGCGCTCTAACTCCACCAGGGGAGGTGGTAGTAAGCGCCGCCGACAAAAAGCCGCAGAAGTCGATTTTGCCGCCGTCCTCACAACGGGGTAAGTCGGCTGTGATACGTCGAATTCAGCTACGCTATTCACGTAGCTGAATTTGCGTATCTTAAATCGACTCCCCCCTGTAGTGTAGATGTAGCCTCAGTTTCTAAAGTAACACAGACTTGCAGCAGAAATAGAGCAGTTATCAGTAAAAGGTATAGTACAGGTAACATCCATGTAAATTTTCCCATCCTGCCTTGTCAAATATATATCATCTCTTTTTTTGAAAGAGACTATATCTAGGGATGATTAAAAAATAGTTCCATCACCAGTAAAGTCCATTTAAACTTGACCTCTCAAATGCTTTCTATACTGTACTTTCACAGGTTATAATATTTAAATAACTGTGAAGTGGCTGTTAGACAATAAATAGTATTAATGTGACTATAACATTTGAGAAAATGACTGCCTTTAAATCCAAAACAGCTGCTCCTTAACTAGATTTTGAATACCTGCTTCATATTTATACATTATAGTTAAATTCATACAGTGCTAAGAAGGTGTATAAAATACCCATGTTTTGACTCATTTATTTAAGTATTAGATGTAGTCTCCCATTTGCCTTCAGTCATAGCTTTGTTGTGTATGTCTTCTTAGGCTCCTGAGAATCCCCCAATTTTTTTTTGTTATTACTAGGGCTGTCGATTAATCGCAGTTAACTTACGCGATTAACTCAAAAAAGTTAATCACGATTAAAAAAATTAATCGCGCTTCATCGCAGTTTTAATCGCACTGTTAAACAATAGAATACTTATTGAAATGTATTAAATATTTTTGTATGTTTTTCTACATTTTTAAATATATTTATTTCAATTACAACACAGTATACAGAGTTGACAGTGCTCACTTTATATGATTATTATTTATTACAAATATTTGTACTGTAAAAATGGCAAACAAAAGAAATCATATTTTTCAATTCACCTCATACACGTACTGTAGTGCAATCTCTTTATTGTGTAAGTGCAACTTACAAATGTAGACTTTTTTGTTACATAACTGCACTCAAAAACAAAACAATGTAAAACTTTAGCGCCTACAAGTCCACTCAGTCCTACTTCTTGTTCAGATAATTGTTCAGACAAACGAGTCTGTTTACATTTATGGGAGATAATGCTTCCTGTTTCTTATTTACAATGTCACCTGAAAGTGAGAAGAGGCGTTCGCATGGCACTTTCGTATCCGGCATTGCAAAATATTTTCATGCCAGCTATGCTAAACATTCGTATGCCCCTTCATGCTTTGGCCACCATTCCAGAGGACATGCTTCCATTCTGATGATGCTCGTTAAAAAAATAATGCATTAATTAAATTTGTGACTGATCTCTTTGAGGGAGAATTGTATGTCTCCTAACCCGCATTCTGCCATATATTTCGTGTTATAGCAGTCTCGGATGATGACCCAGCACATGTTGTTCGTTTTAAGAATATTTTCACTGCAGATTTCACAAAACACAAAGAAGTTACCAATGTGAGATTTCTAAAGATAGCTACATCACTCAACCCATGGTTTAAGAATCTGAAGCGCCTTCCAAAATCTGAGAGGGACTAGGTGTAGAGCATGCTTTCAAAAGTCTTAAAAGAGCAACACTCCGATGTGGAAACCGCACCTGAACTACCAAAAAAGAAAATCAACCTTCTGCTGGTGGAATCTGACTCAGATGATGAAAATGAACTTGCTTCAATCTGCACTGCTTTGGATGGTTATCGACCAGAACCCATTATGAGCATGGATGCGTGTCCTTTGGAATGGTGATTGAAGCATGAAGGAACATATGAATCTTTAGTGCATATCACACATTAAAATTTTGCGACGCCGGCTACAACAGTGCCATATGAATGCCTGGTCTCACTTCAGGTGATATTGTGAACAAGAAGTGGGCAGCATTATCTCCTGCAAATGTAAACAAACTTGTTTGTCTGAGTGACTGGCTGAACAAGAAGTAGGACTGAGTGGACTTGTAGGCTCTAAAATTTTACATTGTTTTATTTTTGAATGCAGTTTTTTTGTACATAATTCTACATTTGTAAGTTCAACTTTCATGATAAAGAGATTGCACTACAGTACTTTTATTAGGTGAATTGAAAAATACTATTTCTTTTGTTTCTTTTTTACAGTGCAAATATTTGTAATAATAATATTATAAAGTGAGTACTGTACACTTTTTGTATTCTGTATCGTAATTGAAATCAATATATTTGAAAATGTAGAAAACATACAAAAATATTTAAATACATGGTATTCTTTTAATTGCTTGACAGCGCTAGTTATTACTTTCACCATCTTTGATGCATTGAATCATTGTTAAAGCCTTTCTTATTGAAGAAGAGGGAACAGTTCTTCCTTCAGACTCCATAAATTCTGCTTCTTAATCATCCAGGGAGATCACAATTGAGCTATACAAATTCTCCCTTTCCATAGTGGCTGAGCGTACTTCCTCTGATGCCTCCCAAACATGAGACATGAGAGCCAGGGAATGGTGGCAATTGGTTTATGTCTAACAATTATTTTAAGTTGGTGAAGTTTTCTGATATTAATGAACTCTTGTTTTACTCTCCTAGGTCCAGGCAACGGTAGTTGGTTTTCTAGCAGCAGTGGCAGCAGTCACACTGGGCTGGATTCCAGAAGGCAAATATCGCCTTGATCATTCAATCCTTTTGTGTTCTAGCAGTGTAGCAACTGCCTTCATAGCATCTCTTCTACAGGGTAAAAATATATTTGTAATGTTCTACAGTGACTGTTTTTCAGTAAATACGAAAAGTGTGTATGTGTCACAATGTTACTTAAGATATAAATCCCAGTAGAGTACAATCTGTCTGAAGCAGACAGATGGCAGTTGGATACCCTTTGCACTTTTCATGCTAAAAACTAAAATCACAGTAATGAAATTGGATCAAAAAAAGAACCTAGGCATAGATTTTCCTGGATATCTCTTTTCCAAGATGTTTAATTTGTGGGGAAACAGCTGTGTTGCAATTTGCTTCCTCTGTTTATTATTGCTAAACTGGTTTTGAATTATGACCACAATTCTGGCCCACTTCTTCATTATACTTGCCCATAGATTGTCACATTAATAAATAAATAAATAATAAATAAATTAATGGAGATATCCTATTTCCTAGAACTGGAAGGGACCTTGAAAGGTCATCTAGTCCAGCCCCCTGCCTTCACTAGCAGGACCAAGTACTGATTTTGCCCCAGATCCCTAAGTGGCCCCCTCAAGGATTGAACTCACAACCCTGGGTTTAGCAGGCCAATGCTCAAACCACTGAGCTATCCCTCCCCCCAAACATTCTTTGAAGGAGTTTTAAATAAAACCTTACATCATATTCAATCACCCACCTAGCACTTATACCTTTTATTGAATCTCTTAGTGAAACCATGTTTAAGTTTAAATTTAAGTTTGAAAAAGTATGGTGCTAATTGTGTCCACAGCAAAAGAAACATTTTAAAAACCAAATCCTAGTGGGCTTTAAGACAGACAGTGTGATGTGATACGTTATCCAATCACATGGCACTCCAGTCATGATTCTCTGTGAACAAAAAGGGTTGGTTTTAGATTCTAAGCTCTTAACAACACACACTGAGGTGGGTTTCCAGCAAAATGTCAAGACTGGAGCAGCTTTCTTAGACTTATATGCCACCTATAACACTGTATGGAGAAACAGCCTTTTCCTGAAAGCCAATACAATTATCCCATGCATTGTGACAATAATCTTCTTCAGAGAAGTTCTGATCAATCATAGGTTTCACGTTTTCTTGGGTGACCCATTCAGCAGACCATACACTCTCTATGGTAGCCCACTACGGTGATCAGTCTTAGCGCTGATCCTGTTTAATATGTACCTTCCCCAAACATCATCACAGAAATTCGTCTGTGCTGATGACATTGCTCTAACTACATAGGCACAAGATTTATCTGTCAAAGAACAAATCCTAAATAAGGACCTGAATACCAGGAAAGAATATTGGTGGCTAAAACCAGACCCCACCGAGACTGTTGTGCCAGCACTTCATCTGAATAATCAAAAGGCCAGGGTGAAACGATACCATCCTGAAATATCTTGGTGTAACATTTGACCAAAGCCTCACATACATCCAGCACCTGAAAAATATTCATGACTAAATAAAGATGTGTGTAAATCTCATTAAGGCCTGGTCTACACTAGGCTTTTATGTCGACTTTAGCGCCGTTATATCGAATTAACCCTGCACCCGTCCACACCAGGAAGCCATTTAGTTCGACATAAAGCTCTCTTTAAATCGATTTCTGTAATCCTCCCCAACGAGAGGAGTAGCGCTAAATTCGACATGGCCATATCGAATTAGGCTAGGTGTGGATGCAAATCGACGGTAATAGCTCCGGGAGCTATCCCACAGTGCACCACACTGTTGACGCTCTGGACAGCAGTCCGAGCTTGGATGCTCTGACCAGCCACACAGGAAAAGCCCCGGGAAAATTTGAATTCCTTTTCCTGTCTGGGCAGTTTGAATCTCAGTTCCTGTTTGGACATCGAGGTGAGCTCAGCAGCAGTGGCAACGATGCAGAGCTCTCCAGCAGAGATGGCCGTGCAATCTAATAGAAAGAGGGCCCCAGCATGGACTGATCGGGAAGTCTTGGATCTCATCGCAGTGTGGGGCGATGAGTCCGTGCTTTCAGAGCTGCGCTCCAAAAGAAGGAATGCTAAGATCTACGAGAAGATCTCCAAAGCCATGGCAGAGAGAGGCTACAGCCGGGATGCAACGCAGTGCCGCGTGAAAATCAAGGAGCTGAGACAAGGCTACCAGAAGACCAAAGAGGCAAACGGACGCTCCGGATCCCAGCCCCACACATCCCGTTTCTACGAGGCACTGCATTCCATCCTTGCTGCGGCCGCCACCACTACCCACCACTGACCGTGGACTCTGAGGATGGGATATTGTCCACGGCCGGTTCCTCGGACATGTTAGCAGACGGGGAAGATGAGGAAGGAGATGAGGAGGACGAGGCAGTCGACAGCGCTTACCAAGCTGATTTCCCCGACAGCCAGGAGCTCTTCATCACCCTTACAGAGATCCCCTACCAACCCTCCCCAGCATGTAACCTGGACACAGATTCAGGCGAAGGATCAAGCGGTAAGTGCTTTAAACATATTAACCTTTATTTTTTACAAAACTTGAATATTAATACTAAGAACAATCTGTGAATCATGATTTCTTCCCCCTGGGCGCTTAAGTAATCAGTAACAACTATTTAAAAAAAAATCAAACAGTGTCCGGTTGTGCATGATTGTGCTGCCCAAGCTGCTCCACTCTTTAGTGCCTGCTACTGCAGCTATATTAGAATCCTGTCTATATGTCCGGGGATAGAGCAGTAGTCCTTCACGGACATCTCCACAAAGCTCTGCTGCAGGTAATGGGATAGCCTGTTCATCAGGTTCCTGGGGAGAGCGGCTTTACTTGGTCCTCCGAAGTAGGAGACGTTCCCGCGCCAGGAGACAAGCAGGTACTCCGGTATCATTGCCTTGCATAGCATGGCGGCATAGGGCCCCGGTCTCTGCAGGCTTTCTCGAAGCATCCGTTGGATCTCGGTGTCCGGGATCCTCATGAGAGTTATGTCGCTCATGATGACCTGCTTTGAATTAGGTAGGGGACTGTTAGTATTGGGACTGCTTGCAACAAGTTCCTTTACAGAACTGTGACCGCTGGTTTACAGCCACGCGGTGGGGGCGGGAGAGGGGCAGCATACAGGGATCTTTCCCTGGCTCATCCGCGAGGGGGTGGGACAGGGCCAGAGTTCCTGCTTGGCCGATTGCTGGCAGCACAGACTGGCAGTGCTTTCAATGTGAAAGGAGGCCAGTGGTACTCCTACAGTTTTAAGCAGCCACAAGTCTACGGCTTACCATGTTTGCCTGCTACAGAGAGTACCGTGTCCTGCCCCGCTTCCCAGATCGGCAGTGCAAAAGCCCAGGCACTGAAGGCGAGGTTCGAAAATTCGACCTTGTCCTGAGTGCGCATGTGATAGGTGTGGTTCATGGTCTTGTTCACAGAGAAAAACTATGTTCTTGATTCACAACCACATTTTTCTTTCGGAGGAATTCACTGCCTTTTCCTCATTCCCACAGCCACATCTGCAACTGTCTCCCAACCCAGCTTGGCATCACACTCCCAGAGGCTAGCGCACATTAGGCGGAGAAAGAAGAAGACGCGAGAGGACATGTTCTCAGAACTAATGGGCTGCTCCTGAGCCCAAGCAGCACAGCAGAACCAGTGGAGGGAGAATTTGTCACAAATGCACCGGACACACATGGAACGTGAGGAGAGGTGGCGGGCAGGAAGACCAGCAGGCGACTCAAACGCTGCTTGGACTTCTGAGGGAGCAAACGAACACGCTCCGGCGCCTTGTTGATGTTCTGCAGGAACGGAGGCAGGAGGACAGAGCCCCGCTGCAGTCTATCAGGAACCGCAGTCCCCCGCCACCAAGTCCCATACCCCCCCTCTCCCAAAGTCCAAAGAAGGAGGGGTGGCAGAGTCCGTGAAAACTCTCACTCCACCCCTGCAGACTGCTCAAGCACCAGAAGGCTGTCATTCCCCAAAATTTGAAAAGTCCTTTCCTGCCCGCCTCACCCAAGCCCCCGTCCGACTTTCACCCCCCAGTTTCCTGTCTGGTTGTTAAGAAAAAATATGTTTCTGTTCATTACTGTTTCAGTCAGGTTCTTTTGAGGGAGAGTCTGTCTGGAGGGGGGGAAGGGGCTTGGTAATTGGACAGGACAGTGACCTTTAGCAGGGTACAGAGGCGGTGTCAGGTCCAGCATCAGGACACATACACAGTGCAGTCACTGGTTACCCTGGTCAGTCTGGGAGGTGTTTTTCATGTTCTCCATTGAAATAACCAGTCCACCAGTGCGGAGCCTGTCATTCCGGGAGTTTAGAAGCATCATTTGCATCAGAACACTAAACCCGCCCCCCGCCACAGTCTGCGTCCCCGGTTTAAAATATTCCCGCGAAAACAGCAATACAGACAACGGTGTTCATTAACAAAATCGAAATGATTTTATTTTTTGGGAAGGGGAAGGGGGTGAAGGGGGTATGTAACTGGAGAGGATAGTCAAAATGAACTGGGTAAAGAAACGGGGGCAGGTTCAGCTTTTCTGTCCACAAACTGAAAAGTCACTGGTTGCCCTGCTCACTCAGGAACCTAGCTTTCAAAGCCTCCCGGATGCACAGGGCGTCCCGCTGTGATCTTCTAATCGCCCGGCTGTCTGGCTGGGCGTAATCAGCAGCCAGGCTATTTGCCTCTAGCTCCCACCCCGACATAAAGGTCTCCCCCTTGCTCTCACACAGATTGTGGAGCACACAGCAAGCTGCAATAACGATGGGGATATTGGTTTCACTGAGATCACAGCGAGTCAGTAAGCTTCTCCATCTCCCCTTGAGACGGCCAAAAGCACACTCCACCACCATTCTGCACTTGCTCAGCCGGTAGTTGAACAGTTCTTTTTCTGTGTCCAGGGCGCCAGTATAGGGCTTCATGAGCCAGGGCATTAGCGGGTAGGCTGGGTCCCCGAGGATGACTGTAGGCATCTCCACATCCCCAAGAGTTATTTTGTGGTCTGGGAAGTAAATACCTTCCTGCAGCCGTCTAAACAGACCAGAGTTCCTGAACACGCGAGCGTCATGAACCTTGCCCGGCCATCCGACGTAGATGTTTGTAAACCGTCCCCGAT